CTGAATGGGTTTGTGATGGTTAATGATCTCACATCATTATTTCAGTTACTCCTCGGAAGCCAAACAGTAAACAAAGAGGATGAGTCCTGGGTATTTGTGTTTTCCCAGAGAAATAGTGGGAACCCGGCATTTGGAGAAGCTGGGGGAGAGAAGGTCGTTGATGTGCTTGTATGTGCTAACCCAGGGCCTCCAGACCTGTAATAGCTAACTTGGTTTCTGTTAGCCTGAAACTGTGTAGCCCGCATGCCTCAAAGTGATCATTTTTATATTTAATTGGTATATGTTGGTATTGGTATATGTTTTCAGTGAATGAAATGTAAAACCGTATTTTAAAAGTGACTGAAATTTTAGCAGTTAAGAAATAAAATAAATAGCCAACACCGAGCTAAGCACACATAGGCTCTTTATTGGTCCTGTCCCCACTGCTTTTGCCACATTAGTGGTCGGGTATGGCTTCATCTTTATGTAGATTTAATGTTGGGCTGAGCACTTGTGCATCCATAATCTCATGTCTCATGTTAGATAAGTATGCTTACCTGTGTTTTAAGGACGATAATACCAGAGAGGTTAAACATTTACCCTAAACTAAATGTTTGCGGCAGAGGCAAGATTTGAACCCCAGGCCTTAATTCCACAGTTGGTGACCTTTTCACCAGTTGAGTGGGTGAATATATGACAGGTCTTTTTCTTTTTAATTTTAATTTTTTTTTTTATTCTTGAGAGAAACACAGAGAGAGGCAGAGACACAGGCAGAGGGAGAATCAGAGCCTGATGCAGGACTCGATCCCAGGACCCTAGGCTCATGCCCTGGGCTGAAGGCAGACATTGAACCATTGAGCCACTCAGGTGCCCTGTGACAAAAGTCTTTCTATAAATGGTTTTCTGCTACATGAATTCTACACTCAATTATTCAGTGAACCCATACACTAAAAAGAGTTACATTCCAGTAGAATAAAAAAATAATGATGCCCATATAATAAAATCACATGTAAAAATATCATAATTTTTTTATCATCACTACTTTAGGGAAAATAACTTTCTGCTAAACCAATAACAAATAATGTTAAATACCGCCATTAGGTCTGAACACGTGGATATTACTAAGTGCCATAGTCAAAACACATTAAATGAAGAGTCTCCAACAGTAAAACCATAGGGAAGTGACTTCGTTTGCAAATTCCTTAATTTAGGAATTATATTAAGTGAGGGATAGTGGTACTTGAAGCCAAGAGAAATGTATTCTGTAAACCAAAGCTATCAAGAGTGTTCAGATTATTAACGTTGAGCCGCTTTGTTTTATCTTGACATGAGGAAATAGACCCATAAATCCTAATAGGGAGTCATTCAGTTGAGAAAGATGGAAGAGGAAGCATTCACAGTAAACACAGCCTGGTGAAAGCCTAGCACCTTCTGGCCCCTCCCTGTGCCAGCCTCCACCCAGACCAGGCAGTGAGAGTGACCAGAGATGCTGGGCACCAAGGCTCAGGCTGCCATGACCACGTCTGTAATTTCTGCTTCTGAACGAGTGGCCCTTTTCCCCCACTAATTTAATCTTTTGTAATGAACGAGTTAAAAAAAATTTTTTTTTTAAAATTTTGCTTTCAGATGGAACGTAGAAGGGTAGATTTGAAAATAAATGTTGGCCATTACGTTATCAGACATGATAGGGCCTTATTTTAAACATTCTCTCTGCAGACGGCCTGCTTTTAGCACAGAGGCCCGCAGGAGACAAGTGGGGGAGCAGGATAGTTGTTTGCAGCCTCAGGCACTTACTTGCTCGAGAAAAATTGCTGCCAGCTGAGTGGTTTCAAAAAACTCAGGCTACCAATGTGGTCTTTAGTGGGTAGAGGATTAGAGGGAATGCAGTTTCTTCTGTCCTTTATAAATATTTGCTGGACAGCTAATGGGTTTTTGTGTGCATGTGTATTTCCTTTTTCTATTGGGGAAATTACCAGTAATACAGGAACATCCTGTGATAAAATATATGAAGTGTAGAGCCTAAGAGAATAGATCAGTGAAATAGAGGAAATGTGGCCCAGGCCTGTAGCAGGCTGTATTGTAACGAAAAGTCCTGGCATCCGGATGTATCTACAGGTGCCTAACGACAGTGGCGGGAGGGGGGAGCGGGGGATGAATAGAGGATTCCACCAGCAGCTTTTAGCATCCAAAGCTTACACCCCCATCAAAGAAATCATGCTTATATCTAATTATTTTAAATCTTAAAATCAGTGCTCACATCTACCCTTAGAATGCTTAAATGTCATTTTATTTTAGATTAGTATCCACGCTGGAATTCCTGTGAGAATAATCCCTTGTAATCTCCAATCCTGTGCTTCTGAATGAGCAGAGCCTTCACTGCATTACTTGAATGGTGTGATAAGTCTGTGTCCCGGTTCAGTATCTGTTCATGTGATGAGATGCCTGCATTAAAGTGAGCCTGGCAATATTGAAATCTGAGTTTCCAAGCAAAGAAACATGGGAAGAATCTTCAACTGTAATTGTTAATTCTGTGGAAAATAGGAATGTAGAAATTTTTGAAAATACTGATCTTTGTTTCCTTGTCTTCAAAACAAAGTTTAAATATGGCTCCAAAATAAATATATATATTTAAAATATATATATTTTTAATAAAATATAATACATATATATACATATTGCCCTATTAACATGTTAAGGAACCAGTCCTCACTTTATGCAATTACATAATAATATTTTATAACCACAAATTACATTCCAAATGATTTACCTGCCGCTTTTTAATAAACTTAGTTCTCTTCTCCAGAGGTAGTGTCCAAGGAGGGTTTTTTGGAGCTTGAAGAAAGCTCTCCCATCAGCGTAACACCTGCTTTTTCTCAGCCCGTCAGCTGGAGATGCCCTCTGTTCAGCTGTATGATTCCCACTCCCTCATATGGGAGAGTAGAGGTGTAAAAGCGTTAATTGAAATATAATGCATATAGAAAAGTACACAGCTCATAATTATATATCTCAGTGAGTTTTCACCAACAGAAGCACCCATGTAACCAGTATGCAGATGAAGTGTATCTTTTTATAGTGATAGGTATTTCTTTTCTTTTTTCTTTTTTTCTCTAAGATTTATCTATTTTAGAGAAAGAAAGAGCGAGAGAAAGCAAGCCTGCACATAAGTGGGGTAGGGACAGGGGAAGAGAAGCAGACTCTCCGCTGAGCACAGAGCCCCATGCAGGACTCCCTCCCACAAATCGAGATCATGACCTGAGCTGAAACCAAGAGCTGTAGGGGCGCCTGGGGGGCTCAGTCGGTTAAGCATCTGCCTTCAGCTCAGGTCATGATCACAGGGTCCTGGGATGGAGCAGAGTCTAAGAAAGAAAATTTAAAAATACTCATTGGATCTAATTCTCCCCCAAATGACTACTGATAACATTTTGGTGTGTTTTCAGGCTGCCTGTCCCTCCCTCTCCCACACACAGATTTATGTGTGCCCAGAAATACATGCACGCAGTACCACAACCTGGGGAGCTTCACACACGTGGGTACATGCACACAAAAGAAGTTCCACATTAAAAAAAAAAAAAAAAGAAGAAGAGGACGTTCCACATAGTTGCAATAACATGACAAAGAGACTTTTAGATCTATCACGGCCTGGTCGTTGGCTTCATCAGAACGGCCGGGAAACTCAAAACCATCCATCTCCCTACTTGACGGCAGGAAGGGTTTTTGTCTTTGCTTCTGTTTTGTTGGAGAGGAGGTTGAACTAAATGGCTGACATATATGAGGATGGCTCATTGATTTCATTTATCCCTTATTTTCCCATTTCTCAGAAAACTAAGCATCGATGATAGGAAGTTCAGACACTTCTGGTAGAAAACCTCTTCATGCAAAGCAGAAGTGAGACCTGGCCCCAGACTTTTCTGGGAAATCTGTTAAACTGAACTCCTTGAGGCTTCAGCTTCATTTTTTCCCAGAAGGCCAACTTGACCCTTCTCTTCTTCTTCTTTTTTTTTTTTTAATTTATTTTTTATTTTAATTTATTTTTATTTTTTTGACTCTTCTCTTCTTTTAATTAGCTCCCTTGCAGACACCCCAGTAGACCTTACCCGCAGTTGGCTATGTGTCAGCAAAAGGAAGCAGAGTCAAAAACGTTGGAAATCAGGCTGGTGGTCCTTTATAAGTTGCCTTACTTCTAACATGGACGGGAGGATGCCTTCATGGTGCTTGGTTCTTGCTGTGTTTCCTGCTCATATTGTCAGGAAGAGAATAGTTGGCAGCAGCTTCCTGTTGCTATTGGTGGCACAGGGCATGATGCCCCTCTGCCTCCTGGCTGGCCGAGGAGTCCACTTCTTCTACGGGGGGTTTGATGGGGTTCTTTGTGCTGGGAAAAGTTGTTTCCCACAGAACTGCCTATGCTTTTCTTTCTTTTGTTTTTTTTTAAAGATTTTATTTATTTACTTATTTATTTATTTGGAGACCACACGCAAGAGTCAGGGGAGAGCCAGAGGGAGAGGGAGAGGGAGAAGCAAACTCCCTGCTGAGCGTGGAGCCTGACCCAGGGCTCGATCCCACGACCCTGAGATCATGACCTGAGCAAAATCAAGAGTCAGAGGCTTAAGCACCTGAGCCACCCAGGTGCCCTGCCCTTCTTTCTTAGGAATATATCTTATTGGGGATCCCTGGGTGGCTCAGCGGTTTAGCACCTGCCTTCAGCCCAGGGTGTGATCCTGGAGTCCTGGGATCGAATCCTGTGTCAAGCTTCCTGCATGGAGCCTGCTTCTCCCTCTGCCTGTGTCTCTGCCTCTCTCTCTCTCTCTCATGAGCAAATAAATAAAATCTTTAAAAAAAAAAGGAAATATATTTTATTATCTTTTGTACTTGGGATTTATGACCCATGCAGGAATGTTCTTGGACCTGTTATATTTGTAAAACGTCTTCTCAGGACACTCCTTTCTTCTTGTTTGTTCACAAACATTCAGAAACAGTGTGAAGTGGCCTGTGTATTTACCTGTGTTCTCGTATTGTCTTTGCAGTCGGAATCAGCTGTCTGCCCTGCCTGCCTGCCTGTGTGGTCTGCCTCTCAAAGTCTTAATCGCAAGTAACAACAAACTTGGGTCGCTGCCAGAGGAGATAGGTCAGCTCAAACAGTTGATGGAGTTGGTATGTTACTGATTTTTAAGATGCTCTTTCTCTTTGCGTACTGACCATCGTCTACCAAGGTAGTCAGACTTTTTGCTGCAGTTGGACAGGGAGGTGCACCCGTTGTTGGAGGGCTGTATATGATAAAGACATTAAGTGGGGAGCGGAACCAGCTTGGCTTTGCTGTGGCAGACACAGTTCCTGAAGTTTACAGGTTTCCTGTAGTTTACACTTCCTGAAGTTCGCAGGATTTACAGTTGCTGCAGTTTTACTGGTTATCGTGTGGTAGTTAGATCATGCTTTTTTCAGATCGCATATAAATTTGTGATAAATTATGAATAAACTGGCCAGATAATGTACCGATAAGTTCGTAGGCCATACTTGATGAATGTAAATCATTAATTGAGAAAGAACAGAGTGCTCTGATTCTGTAAGGGTTTTTAGTAACCATTGTCCCAAACTGATGAACTCTAAAATGTGACCAAATCCCCAGAGGCAAAAACAAAACAAAACTCCACCTTATAGATGGAGTGCACCTGACACCAAGAGGCACTGTTCTATTTCAGCTCTTTCACTACTAATCGAATCACTCACCTTGTTTCTAAAATGGGAAAGAATGAATACCAGCCGGGTAAGGTGGATGAATGAAGAAGCAAAAATGAGCAATCGGACTAAAACATTACGGTCATAATTTATCCTCCAAGCAAGCATTACCCCATACTGACCTTGTGTCAGGCACAGAGCTGAATGTTGTGATTATGACCATAAAAAAGACGGTACCTTTTTATGGTAGATTTTACTGGTAGATTCCAGCCTAGAACATTGATCGCCAATGGCTTTTTTCTTGTGTGCCAACTCTAGTTAATTTCTTTGGGGCCGTGTGGAACACGTGGTGATGACTTGTAAAACCCAGATAGAGAGTGCTGTGATGCCTTCATCACATCTGCAGTGGGAATTGGCTAGGAAAATGACAGCACCGGAGTCATCTATGTATCAGCTTTGATTTTAGAGTGGAAATGCCTCATTGCTATATAAAGGCATTGTAGGTAAGGAAAGAGTGTCTTTATCAGGACTTACGTGATAGTAGTATCTGAAGCCCATTCCAGCTAGCTCACACCAAGAGTTGGGATTGGTCAAAAAGATGCAGGGGTCTTCTCAAATAGCCAAACAGTCTGGAGAAAGAAGAACAAAACTGGGGGTATCGTAATCCCAGATTTCAAGATAATACTACAAAGTTGTAGTAATCAAAACAGTATGGTACTGGCACAAAAATAGACACATAGAGAGTGGGAAAGATACATGCACATCTTTGTTCGTCGCAGTATTATTTATAATAGCCAAGAGACAGAAACAGCCCAAGTGTCCATCAGTAGATGAATGGATAAAAAAGATGGGGTGTACGATGCTGCTCCGGCTGAAGGTGGCCCTGCACGACCAGCTGAATCGGCTCAAGGTTGAAGAACTAGCCCTCCAGTCAATGATTAGTTCGAGGAGAGGAGATGAGATGCTTTATTCTCACCTTGCACCTCAACAGTCACATGATACGCTGGTGCATGTGGACAATGAAGCGTCAATCAACCAAACTGCACTGGAGTTGAGCACAAGGAGCCATGTGCCGGAAGAGGAGGAGGAGGAAGAAGCAGATTCCTGAAGCAGGTGAAATGCACGTCTGAACAGAGACAGGCATGGGAAAGAGGCCTGAAAGCAACATGGCACACCACCAGGCAGGGGACTCACTCTTTGCTGCTTCCCAAATACTTAGACACCAGCTGCGTGGGTTGGTGTGCTGGGCTGGTTAAAGCCAATGGTGGAGCAGAGCCAACCTGCAAAATCTACTTCCTCACCGTCAGATCTCTTGATGAAGGCATGAACCTGTGTGAGGGAAACAGTTAAGTATTGTTAAAAAACCAAAAGGAAAGTTCAAGAGTCCTGGGTCTAGAGCTTCCCTTGGGAAGAGCTCCTGGAGCCTGTCCTGGGGTAGCAGTAGAGGGCCATGAAAATGACCAGCTCCTGCCAAGAACCTACGCTCTCCCACTGTGACCTGCGGGTGGCAGCTCCACCGTCAGTGCCTCTGGGTGGCTGGCTAGGAGAAACGAAGGAACAGATAGGCTTCCTTCCCTCAGCCTGTCCCTTACACTGATGGGCGGAGGCTGATGTTTGGGATCCTGCAGCCCCAGGGTCAGCGGGAGCACAGTGGTCAAGGTGGAGCAGGGAATGGGCACGGGGAGTACTGGGCAGATGACACAACAAAGTAATAAACGGGGTGTGTACAAATGGGAAATAAATGGACTTACCATGAGTTGCTTCAGAAAAAAAAAAAAGATGTGGTGTGTATATACAATGGCATACTACTCGGCCAGAAAAAAGAATGAAATCTTGTCATTTGTGATGACATATATGGACCTTCATAAAGGGCATGAAATAAGTCAGACAGAGAAAGACAGATACCGTATGATTTCACTAACATGTGGAACCTAAAACAAAACAAAACAAAAATTGAAAAAACCACCAGAAACAGTCTCATAAATACAGAGAATGACTGGCAGTTGCCAGAGGGAATGGGGAGCAGGTGGATGAGTGGAATTAAGGAGTGCAAACTTCCAGGGCATCTGGGTGGCTCACTCGGGTGAGCATCTCCCCTCCGCGCAGATCATGAACTCGGGGTCCTGGGATGGAGCCCTGCATTGGGCTCCCTGCCCAGTAGGGGAGTCTACTTCTTCTTCTCCCTCTGCATGTCCCTCTGCTCATGTTCTCTCTTTCTCTCAAATAAATAAATAAATCTTTTTTTAAAAAAAGAGGTGTAAACTTCCAGGTATAAAATAAGTCACAGGGATGAAAAGTACAGCATGGGGAGTATAGTCAATACTGTTGTAAGAGCATCGTGTGGCGTCAGGTGGTGACCATACGTAGTATGGTGAGCGCTGAGCCGTGCGTAGAGTTGTTGAATGACTATGTTGGGCGCCTGAACCCAATACAACATTGTATATCAACTATACCTAGATAATTTTTTTAAAAAAGATGCATGGGTTTTCCCATCACTCAGCATGAGGACATTTGATCAGGGGTCATGAATGTTTAGAACAAGACACTGGAAAGTTCTCATGAGCCACAGCAGTGTTTTGTTTTCTCAGCTTTCTGTATTTCTCTATACAGTGGAGACGTTGCCTTGCCTGCAGATCCAAAGTTTAAATGTCCTCCAACTTGAGCACTAGCTGGTCTGTCTTGGCCTCGGTGTCTAAGCGAGAGAAGCAAGGCTTGGTTAGGATGTCCTCCCCTGACTCGGTCCTCGGTGCCCCACAGTATATGGTCATGTGACCCAGAGACAGCTGCTCTGCTGCCACCGAAGGGGACAGTTCTGAAAGAAGATGAATATTAATTTGGGTAGGCAACTCCTACCCCTAAATTTGCTATTACAAGAAATACACGCCTAGGGTAGGGAATGATTGATTCAGTTGGAGTTGGGAAGGTTTGTACGGGAAGAGACCTTTGAGAGGCCCCTTACAGAAGTCTGTTTGGGATTTTCTAAATGGGAAAAGGAAGGGTGGGACAGAGGAAGAAGCATTTAAGAGAGAGAGGACAAGATAAAAAGCCTGTGCTGCACAGCAAAGGAAACAGTCAACAAAATGAAAAGGCAACCTCCAGAATGGGAGAAGATATTTGCAAATGACACATCTAAGAAAGGGCTAGTATCCAAGATCTATAAAGAACTTATCAAACTCAACACCCAAAAAACAAAGAATCTAGGCAAGAAATGGGCAGAAGACATGAACAGAAATTTCTCCAAAGAAGACCTACACGTGGCCAACAGACACATGCAAAAATGCTCCACATCACTGGTCATCAGGAAAATACACATCAAAACCACAATGAGATACCATCTTGCCCCGGTGAGAATGGGGAAAACTAACAAGACAGGAAACAACACATGTTGGTGAGGATGTGGAGAAAGGGGGACCCTCCTGCACTGTTGGTGGGAATGTGACCTGGTGCAGCCACTCTGGAAAACTGTGTGGAGGGTCCTCAAAGAGTTAAAAATAGATCTGCCCTATGACCCAGCAATTGCACTGCAGGGGATTTACCCCAAAGATACAGCTGCAGTGAAACGCCGGGACACCTGCACCCCGATGTTCACAGCAGCAATGTCCACAATAGCCAAACTGTGGAAGGAGCCTCAGTGTCCATCGACAGATGATGGATAAAGAAGATGTGGTCCATGTATAGATGGAATATTCCTCAGCCATTAGAAATGACAAATACCCACCATTTGCTTCGACGTGGATGGAACTGGAAGGTATTATGCTGAGTGAGTCCATTGGAGAAAGATAATTACATGGCTTCACTCATCTGTGGAATAGAAGAAACAGCACAGAGCATCATAGGGGAAGGGACGGAAACCTGAATGGGAAGTCATCAGAGAGGAAGACAAACCACGAGAGACTCTTAATCAGAGGAAGCAAACGGAGAGGGGAGGTGGGTGGGGGGTGGGATAAGTGGATGATGGGCATTAAGGAGGGCATGTGATAGGAGGTGCTACATGTTGGCTAATTGAATTTAAAATAAGAGAGAGAGAGAGAGAGAGAGAGAGAGAAGGGGACAGCTTGTGCAAAGGCAAGACAGCCCGGGAGGATACGGCATGCGTGGGGAGTGGGAAGCAGTTTAATCCTGCTGAGGCTAAGCTAGGTAGGCTGGGCGTTCAATTCTCACTGCCACGACCTTAGAACTAGGCCACCATCTGCTCCTCCACAGGCCATTCAAGAGCATCCTCAGGACTCTTGGTCCCTGTCTGTCTCCCCAGATTCATCTCCTGTCCGGGGCCCCTTTACCCTCTGAGTTCCAGCCTTCTAGGAATGCACCTGGTTCATTTTCTCTTCTGGACTTGGAAGCACCTCACTGACTCTGTATGAGCTGTTTCTTCCTTCTCCTCTTCTCTTGATCCATTCTTAGCCACATTAGATCTCACTTCCTCCAGAAAGCCTTCCCAGATCCTCCGAGCCAGAGCTAGGTGCTCCGAACACAAGCACCTTGGACATATCTCTGAATTCCATGGAATCACACTTGTCCTCTTCCTTGGCATTCTCTGCGCCAGCTCCCCCTATATCTTGAAAGCCGCCTGAGGACAGGAACTTGCTGTAGTACCCGGTGCTTGGCACAAGATAGACACCTAGTCAATGTTTGCTAAATGCTGCTGTCAAACGGTGGAAAGTGGGCCGAGCAGGTGGCTTGGGACAGACCGTGCAGACTCCCAGGTGCTCAGCCTGGCGGGGGGATGACTGTCTTACAATCCAAGCTAATTCAGAAGGTGCCACCTTAACTGGTTCCAGAAAACAGAAACATAATACAGAGTAATGCTGGGGATTGAAACTGATAGCCATAATACTTATTTTTCTTTTTTGAGAATACTTCCGTTTGGGAGTCTGATAAACCACAAAATCCAGGTGTGCTAAGAATGTGGCTTAAGTCTTACAAACACAATATGAATGACAGGTTGGTTTTCCCCCCACTTCTTGGGCTCCCACACAGGAAGGCACGCTGGCCAGGTCGGTGTGCTGGAACCTGTTGGCCGCCCGAATGTGTTCCCACCCCCTGCACCCTGGGCCTAAGCCCACAGCATGCCCTGCGTTCAGCTGCATTGTAGGCACGGCTACAGGCCAGCTCGTCCATGGCACCTGTGGCACATGTGGCACATGTGGCACATGTGCTGAGCCCCGAGCCAGCCTCACAGCAGAGCAGGGCTTCCCCCACATGCTCTCATCAGCTGCTGGGCTGGCATCGCTGCAGAGGTGGAACAGCCTGTCTCCCGCCTCGGGACCCACGAGCTGTGGGGTGGCTCATAAGGGACCCCTGAGCTCTTCTTAGGTATCCTGTCCAGAGCCCACTCTCGCAAAGAAGGCCCTGCCTCCTCGTGCAACCAACTACCTATTTAGCACTGTCATCCACTGGCTCTGGTGTCTTTTCTCCCCTAGCAGTACCTGGTGAGTCCTTGGATCCTGGAATGTTAGAGCCCCAGGGGTTTTCAAAGCATCTAGTCCAAGCTCTTGACACCTTACAAATGAAAAAAAAAAAAAAAACAAGGTAGAGAGACAGCCTGTGATGTACTGAAGGTCACTGTGTCATAGCTAACTTGGAACGTGAGCTGAAACACCCTCACCCAGCACCGTTTGATAGGAAGATACTACCAAGCAGCAAACGTTTTCTATTCTATTCTGTTCTGTTCTGTTCTGTTCCGTTCCGTTCCGTTCCGTTCCGTTCCGTTCCATTCCATTCCATTCCATTCCATTCTTAATTCCAGTGTAGTTGGCACACAGCATTATATTAGTTTCCTGTGTACAATATAGTGAGTCAACACTTCGATATACCACCGGGTACTTATCGGGACAGGTGCCCTCCTAAGTCCTCATCACCTGTTTCATCCATCTCCCATCCACCTCCCCTCTGGTAACCATGTAACCATTCATTTTGTTCTCTGTAGTCAAGAGTCTGTTTCTTGGCTTGTTTCTCTCTCCACCCCCTTTCTCTCTCTCTCTCTTTCCTTTTCTCATTTGTTTCTTAAATTCTGCATCTAAGTGAAATCAGGTGCTATTTGTGTTTCTTTGACTCATTTCACTTAGCATAATACTCCCTGTCTCCATTCATGTTGTTGCAAAATTTCAT